GACCCTTTCTGTTCCTTAAACTTGGTACATACTAATCAGTTTAACTGCAAGTTATACACATTTTTCAGTGAATTACAAACATCTCAGTAAATGATATAACCAGGCCAGAGTACAATAGATATTAAATGATAAAATTGAACCTTCATACACCGTATTACCTATCTGCAGATTTAAATATGGATTTATTTAGAATTTTAGAATAGTAATTATTGAAAAAGACAGTCAAGTAGAGACTTAATATACTGACACAAATTATAAATGTTCTCAAAGTTAGAACAGCTAAAAGCCTTTGAAGTGATGACTGAATCCATGGATGACAAAGAAGGAAAATTAGTTGGCGCCTGCAGCACCATGATAATGTTATCAAGGAGAAGAGAGACCCAGAAATTTTTCAATACTTTAGGGTGGATCTGCAGAGCAATATAAAAAAGAATCAGGGGCATGCCATCCCCTTTAAACCAAAATGACAGAAGATCCATCTCCTTACCTATCACAGGGGGTGACAATGGCTGTCCCCTTGTTAAAAATTAACAGATCACCCACTGGTTATAATGGTTAAACTGGTATATATAACATAAATGCCATACTAAGATAAAAAAAAACTGCTAATCAGTCCTGATTATTATTATGTTCAGTGTCCTAAAATCAATAATTTGTTGACCAGTGATGGTGAGGAGGGTTGAGGTTTGCCAGATGGCTCCCATGTGAAGCTGTCCAAGGTAAACTGAACAAATTGTCAAGATAATCCAAATGGACAAGACAAACGTAATTAAGTATTATTTTGAACTGAGTGTCACGTTTCATAGCTTCTCAGTCATCTGTCATATTCCAGCTGCCCACCAGATGTCCCCAGACTGTCTTCCTGTCTCCATTTCCACCTGTTTACCTGTTCTCCAGTCTCTCTCTCTTTCTCTCTCTCTCTCTGTCTCTCTCTCTTATACTTAAGGATCTTTTAGTCTCAAAGTGTACAGTTAGCACATCAACAAACATGATGTGTCTATATTGAGGATGACTTATATAGATTCTTTCTTCTGACATCATCTTAATACAACTGAAAGTAAGAGAGATTAAAATTATCTTGGTAACAATTACCTAATTTTACATTGTGTATTTGTATTTCCTATTTGTATTTTTAACTACATGACAATCTCTCAAAGTACTGGTCAGAAAAAAAATTTAATCTCGTCACAGCCAATAAAATCACTGAATAAAGAAGGTTGGACAGCCATATTTAAGGTGACTACAAACAAACACATGACTTGAATGATAAACTATTTACAAAACAAACTATTCTGAGTTGTGACTCACGTGTGGCTCATGGTTACTCACCTGCTTTACCTTACAGGCTCTGAGTCATTTGCTTAAATACCAGCAGTGAGCCAAGGGTGAAATTTACATTACATGTCATTTAGCAAAGGGACTTCCAATTAGTGAATTCAACACTTTTGAGGGGCCATTCGGGGTTCAGCATCTTGGCTGGGATTTGAGCCACTGACCTTCTGGTCTGGTTGGAGGACGACAACTCTACCCCTCAGTCACAGACGCTTCAATTACAGAAACACACAAAAGATATGTTTACTCGTTCATATTTTAGCCAACTGTGCTAATTCATTGCCTCATGAGCCAAAAGTGCACACTGTTGTATCGTGCGCGCTGGTTCTCTGGTATGGCCTCACTGGCACACATTCAGAATTACACTGATTGTTGATATCAAACTCTACACGGTCAATGATTCAAAAAGAAGTGTAAGCCGAAAAGATCTTCACACGTAACAGTTAGTACCTGTGAACCAGTTTTCCTTCACTGTTTGATAAAGTAAACCAGTGTTAAACCTGAGATTTCATTAAACAACTGATGGAAGTGCACAAATTGTTAGCTGCATGAAGATGAGACTTAAAGGTGGTCCAGGTCTTATTAATTCATTATCAGTTATTGATTGTAGAAATGTATGAACATTTGTTAGATCAAGCCTCTGAATTAGGCCACAGGTGGTGTGGGTTTTCCTCAGGTCGGATCAACGATAGACTTCAATCATCTTTCTCTCTCTCTGAGGCAAGAGGAAGCTTCATATCAACTCACAAATCATTTAGTTCATTCTCAGCTGCAGTCTCCAAACTCGTGTGTCATCTTTTTCTCACTCTCCACTTGTTTTTTTCTGCTGCTCATCCATCTGTTCTGCCTGTCCTCATGGTCCTCCTCTTCCATTCTCCTCCTCACATACTCCTCTTCTTACTCCTACCAAAGTTTTTGGATGCTGTGATGTATTTGTTTACAACACAACTCCTCCCATACCACCACAGTATTTTGGCTGTTCCCCTCTACATCTCCTCTTCCTCACTCCCTCCTTCCATCACAGAGAAGCCAATGTTTCAGCTTGCCTTCCTGTCGCCAACAAAGCAACTCCTCTCTTTGTTGGGGCCTCCTTTTGGACAGGGAGGCCAGCCTCCAAGTTAATTGTGCATTCGTTAGCAATCGCCTCCCGCAACTTGACACCTTAACTCTTTAAGCTGTAGATGAAGTGGTGTGGGTGTGTTTCTGTTTCTGGCTCTAGACACATTAAAGAAACTGGAAGGATGTGGTTTCTTTATATTCTCCACCAGGTTTTATCTGCTACTGTGCAAAACTAAAACTAGCAAGACTTCTCGCATCTCTCTGAGGCTGCTGGCACAGTGGTGCTTTCAACTAAATGCTGCAGTCAGTATTGCTAATTTTCCTTTTTAGACAAAAAACAGTCGAGGCTGATGATGGCTAGAATAAAGTTTTGACTTTACTGATAGTTCCAGGGTGTTATTTTGGTTTGGACTAAACTGAAAAGTCAAAAGGTCTGGACCAAACAAGGTACATGTGAAAACATCCTAAGACACATAGGGAATGTTTGTACACAATTTCTGGTAGTCTACAAACTACTGGAGTTTCGAGTGGTGGACTGACAAACACACCAGAACCTTGTTTTTGATAACTTGTATTTGCTTGCCTGCAAAACAGGAAGTCATCAATGAAAACAAACACACTGCAGAGTATATAATTGATCAATCCTGGGCAATGTTCTTTGCTATATGTACCCACTAATTGAATTAGAAGACTGAGCAAAGACCTGATGACAACTCCTGGGCTGCACACAAAGCAAGAGACTAGACTGATAAATTCAAGAACACCCAACCAGGTTAAGGTTGAGTAATTAGTTGATTAATGGTACTTAATTAAGTAATAATTAAAATATTAGCAAGATCCATCCATTAGCAATGCTACTTATCCTTTGAGAGTATTAGAAACTTGGAGCCAATCCTAGCTGGCATTTGGAAAACATCTTGGACAGGGGTACATCTTGGAAAGTTTCTCGGACAGTCTATTACAGTGCTGATACCTTGTGACCGTTATAAAAATGGACAGGGTCTGAAAAGTGAAGCCAATGTCTGAGTGCCTGAAACCTGTATTCTCTCAAATGATCATCAGAGGGCGACTCCACTTTTTTCAAAATTATGTCAGTTTCTATGGAAGTCTATAAGAAAATGGCTACACGTTTCACTTGATTCCTAAGGAGTTTATTGCTTTTATTGCTAAAAGTAATAATTAGTTTACTACTGGTTTCAAGTCTTCTTAGCATGATGTTCATTTTGTAAACTATGGTCCCAGTTAGAGTAAAATAGACGATAAAGCATTGAATGCATTGGGGCATGGATACTGTTATTTCACAGTTGGAGAGGGAAAAGATACATATTTATTTTATATAATAAGGATAATTACTTTAGTGATCAATTTTCTTTACACCATATATATTTCTTTTTTTTCTGGCCAAGACACACACATGAACATGAGCACAGGACCCAAAGACATCAGTGATGTTGCTGCCATGTAACGGTGTTTGCACAGTGCTCAGGAGATGCACCTCTCCAGGATCTCCCCTCTTGGATTCCTACATGCATCCTCTAAAGGAGACTATCAAAACTGCCATCTGGCTCATCCAACATTACAAACAGCATTATGGAAAAGATAACATAACCTTTTTAATTTGAGTTTGGTGCTTTTTATGCACATGACAAAATAAGTGAAAGAAAAGGGAAGATCTCCGACCCAGCACTCTGAAACCATGCTGGGAGAAGAAAGATCTGCTCCCAGTGAAGCAATGTCTGCCCTTTTAAATACCCCTCAGCCCTCCACTTCTTTGGATTTCATGATGGATTCCAGGTGCTGCTCTTAGTCCTGATGAGAAACTGTTAGAGAAGAGAGCGAGAGCACCACAGGGAGGGAGAGAGCAAAAACACATGCCCATGTTAATGCACATGCTGAGTTACATTACAGTAATCCAATGAGAAGAAAGATCCGCCTTCTGAAAAAGTGTACGGGCCACGTCCATTCCTGTGAATTACACCTCTGCAAAGTAGTACATTTTATCGTTTTGACATATAAAACTCAAAGCACAAGTGTGCTCTTGGCTTCTATCTATTCCAGCTCACACAACCTACAAATAATGTATGCCATAATATCTGTTTTTTTTCAGTTTCATCTTTTTCAGATGACAATTAAACGTCAGAATGTTGTTTGTGTAATGCCACAAGGAACCACAATCCTAAAGTGCATGACAGTCAGTAAAATCTACTGTTCGTGTGGAATGGTACTCCGTCGACCCCCACTTCAAAAGAGTGAGCAGAGGCTCAGGTTACAGCAGCACACAACGAAAACACACTCGACTGAATCCTGTCTGTCCACATCCAGAACTGAACAAGGAGGAACAATGTGTTGATTTTGAATCAGTCAAATGTGTGTGTTCAAACTTCAGCTGGTTGAGCCTGACCAAAAACAATTAAAAATAAAATCTATTGCCTAAAATGGACAATGTTCACTGCTCCTTGGTAAAATACATTACAGCTACCCAGCTAGTGTCAAGTGTGAGATTCTTCAGTGTGGTCACACCATCAGACTACCTGAGGACAGGTAACCGCTGGAGTGACGCGTCGTGCGCATGCGCATGTCCGTTCATCAGTATGATGTTATAGGGTCGACCCAGAGAGCGGAGTCTGGTTCAGTGTACAGTATCTGGACCGGACCGGGGCGGGCAGAAGGCGCATTTGCAAGGCGGTGGAGATGGAGGACAACGAGAACGAGACAGAGAAGAGGGATAAAAACTCTTCCAAGGGCGAGAGAGTGACTCTGAAGAAAGAAATTGGACTTTTGAGCGCCTGCGCTATTATCATCGGTGAGTGTCTGACAGCCTTTGTGTGAAGTAGAGCTGTTGGTGCAGAGCGGGTGGACACAGTGTGGGACAAGTTAATGGAGACGCGTGTCCGAGAGGAAAGAAATACTGTAACGTGGCGTGTGTGCAGCTGTTGCTTTGTTGTTGAAGTTACAATATGTTGGCACAAAACATCAGTCTGCCTCAGCGGGTCTGGGTGAGTTCTGATCCTGAGCCGCTGTTAGGACACCGAGGGGATCTTCCGGCGGTGTCCCTGTGTAGTTTCTGAACGTCTGGCACTTAAACCGCCAAAATACGCACTGAAGGTCGTTTTTACGCACGGATGCTCCTCCTCTGATGTGTGGATCCAGTACGGACTCCTGGTTTTTTGTTCATTTGTGGAAACGGTTGCATCAGTCGGTGATGTTCTGAATATGGACATGCTTACGTGGCTGGATCTTTTTACGTTCAGCTTGAAACGCACAAAGCAGAGTCTCCGTGTGGATCTGTGCCACAGCCGAGCATTAACGCTCTAACTTTGTCAGGGTTAGGGGCTCGATTTCCCGAGTAGTCTCAACGGATAGAGCAAGGGCTTATTGCAGTTCCATGCAGTGACCAGCTATGACCAGCCTATACCATGAATGCACTTATACTGCAAAACAATGTAAAAAAAAAAAAAAATGAAGGGAACAAAATGTATGTTTGAAGCAGGGAGTTGTAAACTGTGCAAAATATATGGAGGAAACTGGAAGTATTGGACGATGCCACAACAGGATTCAGTAAATCAACCTGTTATTCTGTATGTGTTATTATATTGTGACAGTAATGCAGAGGCCTCTCTAAAGCAGCAGCTGCAGCTGATAAGCGGTCTGGGTCTGGATGCATACAATATCTGGCCTCTATTTCTGGAGGCAGGGGGAGGACACGCTACTGACTTAATGAATGACATGTATGAAGTCATGAAGTTATTTTAGTCGGATTTTGTTTTATTTATTCAAGATACTTTATCTTTGTTATTGTACAGCAGGGATTGTTAACCCGCACCTGGTAGAGTAAGGTAACTCTGCTGTTCAGAAATCACATTGTGCCCTTTAACTTTTGTTGTCTTATCTTATCTATGATATCTTCACACTAATACATTGTGTGAACGTTCTTCAACACCACAGTTAGACTAAGGGCAAAATAAACACAAATATTTCTACACTGCTGTCTTGAATTTTGTCTGGGGGCTCTCTGCATTCTCTGCATTTTATTGTACTTCTTGAGTTAATTAAACTGGTCTAACTTTCACTGTAGGCATGATTGGTCCAAAATAGTCATGAGACACATGTAGTTGGAAGACAAAGTGTTTAAAAATATACAGCTTGCCCTAACAAAAATAACAGTTGCATGATTTATGCAGGGAATGATGATTTAAAAGCACCTATATGGTGCTTTAGTTCTATAACCGTCTAAAGCGCTTCACACAATAATTCACATTCACCCATATCCATTCTATGTTGCTTCTCTATCGATCACATCCCATCAGCACTGCCTCATCTTAACTGTGAAACCAAAATTTAGTTTTGTCACTTTAGTAATGAGTGCTCAATAGGCTGCATCTGCTGCATTGGCAGCAGGTGAGTTAATACGGTTGACGTCCTTTTGATTGTGAAAGTTTGTATTCCTGTTTCGGCCTTGGTAATGGTTTTTTATCTCTTTATGGATGAAGAAATAGTCTCAAACCCTGACATCCCTCACAATAGCTCTTAGCTCTGAAGTTTCAACTTATCTTGAAATGTGAGCTCATGTTCTTGACTTGAGGTGGTCATTCATCAGCCTTCAAGATTGGTCACACAACAGAGCCAGCAGAGTCATAAGACAGACTTTAATTGTATGCCCTTGGTGCAAGCTTTGTATCATGAGGCATTAGGAATGTGCCACTTAAAACGTACAGTATTCCCATGACTTCAATAAGTTTCCGCTGTGCCTCTGCAGATAGCCACCAAATGATTATGTTGTAAACCAAGAGAAGGCACACTTCTCCAAATCAAAGGGATAGCACAACATACCAAGATAAATAGAATATGAAGCCAGATTGTGGACATGATAGACTGTAGAACTGGTGGTTTCCACAGTAATTTAATTTTTGTTTTAATGTATTTTTAACCCTGGGGCCTGCAGCTCACAAATCTTGCATTGTATTCATGAGTATAAAAACCAAACAGGTTCATTATTACAATTAACAAACATCACATTACACGAGATCTCAGTGGAAGGTGTCACATAAAACACAATCTGTTACATTCAGAGAGATTTACAAAGGAAAAGGCAACAGTGTCAACATAACATTATCATTTCATCTTAATCCTTTATGATTGCAACGATCAAATCACTCAGCTTAATATTGACTTGCCAAGACTTGTCTGAGATGGATTCATGTGTGTTCGGCTGGTGCACAAAAACAACTTGAGTGATGCTTCTACCCACTAGAGACAGCCTACACACAGCCTCACTCTGGTAAGGTGGACTGTTGAAGCTGTCAGTGTGGTTGTTGGCTGCTGCGTCACTGAATGTAACTACTAGTGCTACTGCTAACATTTGGAGCGACACACAAATCCAAACGTAACGAATCACAATCAGTAATAATATCTACACCAAACTGATTATAAGAGGGAAGTATCTGAATTTGGAGGACTTAAAAACTGTTCATCTTAAATAAAGCTTGACAAGCTGAAGCACCAATGTGCAAACAGAAGCAAGAGCGAGGCCGCTCACAGGCAGGTAGAGTAACCAGTTCAAATGGTAAATCCCAAAAACAAACAGGCAGGCAAAACAGGCAAGAGGTTGGAAACCTACAGCAGGAATAAATGACACACAATCTTGCAGGGATGGAGTGTAAATACAAAGAGCTGGTCAGAGAATAAGGAAAAGGTGAGTAGGCGGGTGGGGAAGAGTCAGGTGCTTGTGCAGGAAAGTCAGTGCTACTGAAGGGCAGGAGGATGTGGCAGCATCTGAAATGGCAGAAGAGTTATTCTGTGTCTCAAATTGGATACTGTACACAGTGTACCCACTGGCACAGTGTGAATAGTCCAACAGAGAAGGAGTCCAAATCAAACACAGCCACTATACACTCACTGGAAATAATGATTTTATTACATATGTATGTGTGCGTATATATATATATATATATATATATATATATATTCTTAAAGGAGCTTAGTGGTGGGTAGATAATGAGTGAATTTCGAAGTTCGGTGAACTATCCTTTCAAACCACCATTTTCACATATTTGAAAATATGTTGGTGACCCTTCCCTTCCACCATGTATTTAGCTACTGTTGAGAATGAGCAGGTATGTAGTGCACTGCATTGTTGACATATTTGTCAGTGTGAACATTTTAGTTTTTAAGTTTTACTGCCAGTTACCAGATTTTCATCTTGCTTATCTTGTTTTATCATTTTAGTGTTTTATCATTTTAAGTGTTTTAGGGCAGGTGCAATATTCAACCACTTTTTTCTGCATTAGTATTCTGGGTCTTGTGTGATATGTACTTGTGTACTGTTTTTTGCTCTGGTTGTTTGTTGTACAATGTTCTCTTCTGCAGCTGCTGTAGCAGTTTAGTCTGATTAGACTTCCATAGTGGAAGGGCATGCATGGACAACTGGTAGAGCAGGTTCAGAACAAATGAATGTGTGAATTAAGTGTGACATCATGGAAAATATTTTAGAACTGTAAAGAGGAAAAAAGAAAATGCACCTAGTATCATAGGTATCTCTAATTTAGTTTTACTTTCACACAGAGGGCTGATTGGGTGCTATTTTACTCTTCTCCATGAACATTACCTCGCCAGTGTAGGGAGGCTGAGAGGGGCAGTAAGGACTCTGATTCATGCTTTCAGCTATGATGCCAAACTTTATGACATAACAAACACAACACAGGCATTATGTAACCACTCTGCATCTCACCACAGCCTCCACAATCAAATCTGACAGTGATAAATGTACTGTTCAGACCTCCTCTCTTGCTCTGCATCATTAGAAAGCACTCAGAGCTGATCTGACTGGGAAGCTGCGATTGTGTGCCCCACTAGATTTTAAAAGCTATTTCAGCTGTTATATTGAACGGATATGTATTTTATTTTTTGTTAGACCCCCTTTTGTCCTAAAGTCCTGCAAAGAGGAGAAAAACATGCAAGACTGTGCAACACATTTCTGCTTGGACAGCTGCTCTTTGGTGTTAGTTTTTGTTTCATCTTTTTTTCCCCCTCAGAATGGTGATGAAAAATGAGAGGCAGGATGGATTAGAGTGCATGACATGGCCACTTATTAGTCTGTATCTTTGCCAACTGAGCCATCAGGGAACATCTCTTTACACCACACTGGGGGACAGCTGTGCCGGAACCTAGTGAGTCATGTTTCCACCACGCCACAAGGCTTAATTGGCTTGACCAGCCCCATTTAAAAATATATCTACCGTCATAACAGACCATACATAATTGATATGCATTGTTATACAAGTAACTAATGCCAGCTCTGTGTGGCTGTGGCTGAGGAGAAAGAGCAGGTCGTCCACCAGTACGAAGGGTTCAACGGTTCGATCCCCCTCTCCCCCATTCTGCGAGCCGAAGTGTCAAGCGCCCCTAACAATTGTGCTGGCAGTGTATGATTGATGTATTCAATAGAGAAAGTGCTCCACATTCATGCACATGTGTGTGTGCTTAGAATGGTCATAGAAATACTGATATCTGTGTTTATGTTTGCCACTGTGAAACTTTCATTTTACAGAAAAAATGCTTGACTAAATTCAAGTTCTATATTTTTGGTTGTGTAGTATTATCCATATTATTTTTAGTTCTTCATAATAAAGTTGATGTTCAAACTATAAAGCCTAAAATGCATTCCTGTCAAAAGGGATTTAAACATATTGGTATATTTTACACTCTCATATTTGTATTTAAGAATGAAACAATTGCTGGTATACTGTTGTGGAATTCCTGAGAGTTATTTATGCTGTTTAATTTTAATTACAGTATTTACCATGATGATTTGGCATGCGGGTGTGGACTGTAACAGCAGGAGAACTTTAATTCTCTGGCCTTAGCTAACAATAACATTCACTGACGCCACATTGTGTGCATTTAACAAACTCTGATATTTTATCTGGACTCTGACATTTGGGGTCGACATCTGCACTTTATTCAACAAGTTGTCGACCATTGACAAATAATGAAAATACTATCATCATTTTTATTGATAATATATCTTGTCAATATAAATGACTATAGCTTGTGTATCAGTAATTTTTAAACATTTACAGCACATTGTAACAATACCACAAAAATAAAAACCCTGATAATTTTGGTCACTATAATCGTGATAAAAACAATTCACACCATTTCACCTTTCCTGTATTTGCATTGGCCCCCCAAAAATCCATATTGGTTGTGCTCTGGTATTTACATCATAGGTCACGTTCACTTTCTTCCAAAAGGTTTCCCCTTCCTCTCTTTCCAATCGAGTGTGATTGAGCTGCAACACTTCAGTAGGCTGAAATGGAAATAGTTAAACAAGAAGTCCTGCAGTCGACTGTTTAGCTATGATGAAACAGTGAGGGGACAGACCAGAACTTCAGCCTAGGCTGTGCATGAGATGTCGTCTGACAAACGACTCTACATTCAACTACACCCTTTTCTCCTTGTGTTTGTTTAAGCCTTGGTCTTCCTATTGTTGTTCCTCTTGCACCGTATATGAGAAAAAAGAATCAAGAGCGATTGCACTTGATTTAGATATTTGAAGACGTTTCAACCTCTCATCAAGAGGCTTTTTCAATTCTGAGTCCCAGTTATTTAACTTCTATCAATGTCAGTGATGTCACTGTTCGTCAGTGCTACTTGCTGTTGCAAGAACAGCTATTGTCAGTGGAGTCACCTGAGAGCAGGCTTAAACAGCTCCTGTCACAGATGGTCAGGAGTAAATTGTTGTTAAATCTCCTGGGAAGAAGGTGGGCTTTGTAGGCGGGGGGTATAAGTGGTGTTGTAGACTTCATCCTCTCTCAAGGGATAGTCTCTTTACTCCAGTTTCAAACCACCTGTCCTCTCTATGCAAAATATGTTAATGTTGTTGCAGCAGAGACTTTTATCCTTCATGTGTAGGTAAACTTATGCCCAGTCCCATTTCACACCTTAGCCCTTCCCCTTCGTTTTGAGCGTTCATGTGTAGGGGTAGATTGTCCCAATGCATGTTGGGACGGAGGGGTAGGGCCAAGTTTTAGGGCTGTATAGCCCCCGAAATTGCGATTTTTCACTTCAAACCTAGCAATTTCACCATTAATAAGGATTTAAAAATTACGATAATGATTGTAATATCTTAGTTTAATATCATTTATATGTATTACGGTAATTTTTTTCACAAAAACCTTAAAACAAGACCATGGGTCTATAAAGAGCATCACATAACTAGCATTAACTTTCAATAACTTATTACCAAATATTACAACAATGCAGATATACACCACAATAATATAATTTTAACTGTCCTGTGCATAGCCTCGTGTAATTAGCCCAGTTGTGTAACCAGTTCATGAAAAGGGGGAGCTGTCCTTTTTATGTGCTGTTTGAAGTCCTGTGAAGCAGTCTTGCTGGTTTGTGGCTCCTGTTGTTGTTGTTTTGCTGGCAAGACTTTGTGTTGCAGCCGCTCGTGCAGAAGTCCTTAGGCAGGCTCTCGCGTCGCTGCCTTTTTGGAAAGTCTTCGCAGTCTGCTTCAGGCAGAGCTTGGGTAGGGAGAATGTCTCTAGGTGAGCAGAAGAGGTACACCTACGCAGAAGTGAGTAGAAAGAGAGAGATCAGATGGGGAACTGGGGTTTTAATGGCTTGGTGACCTTACAGGCCTCGAGATACACAGTAACCAATAGTAGCTGGAAGTCAGGTTCATGGGCAGGTTTCACACCTATGTGTGAAGATGAAGCACCCTGGGAGACTCAGTTTCGGAAGCTGTTCTTTGTCTAAAGGAACAAAGGAGACATGTGGTCGCAGGCTTTGGCTACACATGTAGGCCCAACTATTGTTCCCAAATAGTAGGTCGCAACATGTATGAGAGGTGAGACATCCTCCAGTTTCTACAACATACACAAGTCCAGCTGCTCTCCATTCTACTATTCTTGGATCACAATGACCTTGGTAACAGTGTTCACAAACACCTCAGACCTTACTTACTGGTGTGTATCTAGATATGTTATCTGTTCTGCTGTTACATTTAGTGTTTCTGACTGTCAGCCATATTTTTAGAATATAAAATATAATAAAGCAAAAACTGTTGAAACCATTCCACCAAACGTACATATATTATTGATTGAAGGTGTTTTTATGAAGCCATTAAATAAAACAAACGTCAGCTGAAATAAATCCTTAAAGACCTAATTCAAATGGCTGGGATGTTTTATTAATAAGCCTCTTTCTTGATTGTGTTTTTTTTCTTTGTCCAACCAAGTTTTAGTTTTCATCCTTTTGTCGTTAACTATAAAACCTTAAAATGGTCAATTAAAGAGCCTCAGATATAACGAGTCATATTTTAACTGGGAAATTCAGTCAGAAACTGGAGTCTGAGAGAGCAAATATTATTTAATGTTCCAAGTGTGGTAGCTTTGTGTGTAACCTCAGGCACACAAAGGTTTGTGACCTATGTGTAAATAATGTTAATCTTTGCTTTTCTCCTCAGGGAACATCATTGGCTCTGGAATATTCATCTCACCTAAAGGAGTGTTGGAACATGCCGGCTCAGTGGGGCTGTCACTTATCGTCTGGGTTTGTGGAGGGGGGATCTGTGCACTTGGGTCCATGTGCTATGCTGAGCTGGGTGTCACCATCCCAAAGTCTGGAGGAGACTATTCATATGTGACAGAGATCTTTGGAGGGCTTGTTGGGTAAGCTGTTGTTTTTTTTTTTTAAAACACATATGTTTGACACTAATTCAGCTTTGAGAAGTTTAATATTGGCTTTTTTAAGTCTCTCGAAAGTTGAGCTATCATGTTGCTTCAACAGTCAACTGTCCATAAATTTGAGGTTTGGTAATAGGACAGCTTGTCTGGAACCAATCACCTCTGAAGGTCTTGTGACTTTCATGTTGTCATGTGACATGTCAGCTGATCATAGAGTGTTATTATAAATCTGTTAAGGTCAAGCATGTCCAGCACTGTGCATGCCTGTGGAGGCACTTGTTTGGTCCTCTGTGCCCTTGTCTAGCTCACTCATTCGCACATGTACAATAAGGCAGTTTTTTTTTTCACCATTGAAGCTGGCAAACTAGAGCCACCATAACAGATCAAAAATAACCTCACAATGTACGGAGGCTTGAGTCCCATGCAGTGGCAGCAGGTTCGGTTCTTACCCAGAACCTTTGCTGCATGTCTTCCCCACTCTCTCTCCTCTGTTTAAGCTTAAATTCTCTCTCTCCTATCAATAAAGGTTGCTTTTTTTTAAAACAACCTCACCTTTTGAACAGGAATCAGTTTTAAATGTTAAATTATACCCCTAAATATAGCAAAACTAATTAATATTTAGTATTAGCTCTGGATTATCCATCACCATATTATTTTATATCGGGTTGCCTGGTAACTGGCTAGGGACAACAGATGAAAATTAGCCCATACAGCTAACATTGGCTTATTGACAGTATTTTGTCTGTTTTTTAATGAGCCATATTCCAATTAAATCAATAAACAAAATAAGAAGAAAAAGAAAAAGAAAATCGGACAAAAATCCACAGGAGAGCTCAATAGTTGCAGAGTCATTCACAGCAAGGTGTGGCATACATTCTGGCGCCTACAGTTTCCACCAGCTCTAGAGTGCTTTTGTCAGTGTCTCCTCATGTCACGTCTCCAATAACTAATGCAAGGATGCACTTAGTCAAGTCAGCGAGTCTTGGTTGCTGCAATGCTGCACAGAAATGAAAAGCAGGAAACTGGTTGTAATGGCCAGGGCTCAGTCTAAATGTGTGTAAAATCAGGATGTGCCTGACAGGGAGGCCTATTTACTTGTCACATCAACAGTCAACACACAACAGATTGTAGCTGCATCTTCTCCTTATATATCTTTATTAATAAAAATATTGCATCACCTCTGCCAAGAACCAATAGAATTTTGCAGCTGATTAAGATAAATGTGCCGATCCAGGATTTACCATGAGATAGGGCATTAACCTTGTCTCTTTGTCTTGTAGCTTCCTGTTGTTATGGAGTGCCGTCCTCATCATGTATCCAACCACACTGGCTGTCATCGCACTCACCTTCTCCAATTACGTCTTGCAGCCAGCCTTCCAGCACTGCCTGCCTCCATACATCGCCACCAGACTCCTCGCCACCATCTGTATCTGTGAGTCACAAACAAAACGTCTTTTAGTCCCGATGAGTTTATCTCATGTTATTGTGTTTCTATTACATTTTCCTCTGAATTTTGATTGATGAAGCTAGAGTTTATGTACGTGGCACTTATTTTTTTATGTTCAGTAGGGGTAACTTATACGAATAAAACAGTTGTTCTGTCGATCCTAAACAAACAAACATACTTAAAACACATGGAGTTCAGTGCACAAGAGCGTTTTTCCATGGCAGGCTCCGAGATACTGCAGGCTTCTTTTCATTAAATGTTTAGTCACAGAGTGATTTTCAATACAGAATTGCTCCAATTACAACAAACACTGTCAGGATTCCTTCATTGTGGGGTTTCAGAAATGTATTCAGTCATTCTGTGACATTAACATATCAACAAGCGCACTTAAAATTCTGTGCAATGTTACGTATTACATGTTAATTCACACTTAAGTAGCATTAGGAGCCTTTCACATCATTATTGTTGATGGATTGGGCTGTTTCAGCTGATGCACTGTATTACATGTAAACAATCTATATATAATTTATGTTATGTATTATTAGGGGTCTAATTTTGATATATAATATAACATTTTGACAATGACAAATGATAAGTCCCTATTCCAAGAAATATTTGACACATTGCTCAATGTAAAAGCCCGGCTTGTTTTTTTTATATTTCAGTTTAGGTTTAATATAGGTTTTTACAGTTTCTTTTAAAATTATTTTAATCTTTTTCAGATAAAAAAAAAAAACTAAATTTAGTATTGACTGTTGCCTGTGGCAAAATTTCCAAGTCACGATGCCATGGTGATGCCAAAAAGAAGATAAAGATTAAGGAGACACTAAAAACGTTTACACTCCTCAGGATGTTTTTTTCTCTGTGGCAGCAGAACATGTTACAGCTGCCTTTAGAAAGTCCAACAAAATGTATAGAATTTTTAAGGCTGATTAACCCTGAAAGACTCACAACATTAAAACTTGAAAATACTTGCTAGCCTAGTAACATAATAAAATCCGTTATGCAACCCCATGCACTCTCTTCATTCAAAAAGAATACCTGTTATGAATGAACATTCAATTGTCTAGTGATAGTCTTTCTTTTAAATGTAAGAAATATATGGTCTTATATTAAAACCAATGTCCGATATCTCCAGAGTAGTAGAGAACTGAGAGATCAGCAAAGTTCTTTTGCTCTGTTTTAAATGAGACTGCCTTAGTTTGATAATGAAAAGGAAACTGTAATTGACAGAAATGAGTCGTAGTGACTGAGAAGTCTTATCCCTTCAGATGATAAAATGTTGATAGAAGAAAACCCGTTTCACAGGATCCCATTAGTGCACTATATAAGATATTGTTACTGGTTTACACCCCTGTGGGAACTTTGCTGCCACAGGTGCCTCCATCATCATGACATCCCAATTTACTACCAGGTCACCTGACCCAGTGAGTTTAAAATTGGTGGATACATCTTTTCAAAGATCAGCATTACTAGCAACTGACCTTAGTATCCAGGGTGAAAGGTCAACAATTTTGATTGCATTTGATTGAAGAAATACTGAGCATTGAATGATGTTGGATCATAAATAAGTGCTCAGCAAAGAAGCAAGAAAACCCTGTACCCAACTGTCTCTATAGATCGAAGAAAAGGGTAAATAAACTGTACAGAACAAGTCCAGCTACTTTCTTGTCATGGCTTGAAGATTTTTTACGAGACTGAGGTAGTTCACAGTATGCTGACGGCTGCCATTGTCATTTGAGAATCAAAGCCCTTGAAATGTTGGAGTACAGCAACATGTACCTAAATAGCCAATGGCAAAAGCAGTCTGTGCATGTATGTGGGCGACATGCCAGCCAGTTTGGTCTTGTTTGCACTGGATGGAGAAAAGGAAACAGGGGTATAGACAGGAAAGGCTTGGCAATCTGTGTAGTCACGTGTGAGCATGTGTCAGGCTAGCTTTAGCATTTACAGAGCACACCTCCACTATTTTTGGCGACTGAATGTTACAACTGCTGCTTAGTTAGGCCAGGACCCCCCTCTGAGTGTGATTGTGTGTTGTACCAGTTTGTGTGCGTGTCTGCGCACGTGTGCTCATGTGTCATTATACGAGTCAGACTACATAATGGTGCCAGCCTTTGAGGACGCCGCTAAAGAGAGGGTGTGTCCACGCCATTGTGCATTGTTTCCCCATGGTTTTTGCGATGCTCCTGTCACTGAGCACCATGGAAACAGGATATGGGCAGGACACCTTGCAAATCAATGATGGGGCCTCCAATTGGCCAGATAGCATGCTGGTTGCCTGTTTGGTATCCCTATTGGCTGCTTGGTACCACCCCCATCCTCCTCTCTGGTCCACAGCATCACACTTCAGAGCGACAGTCACAGGGACATTGTAGTCGGCTGTCTGTGGTTGAATGAGCTTCAGTCTGTATGTCTGAAGCTTCATCAGTAACTTGGGCAGCAGAAGTGTCAGATTTCACAGCGCTCTGATGCCAAATGGAGAATGTACTTCTCTAAGCACCACAAGAATCATGGATGATTAGAGACATTTAAATTAAACAGTTTGGTAAGTCTTTCCAAACTGTTGGTCCATCATCCGAACACATCAAACGTTGGTGTTGGTGAGACACTCTGATATAAGCTGTGTAGATAATAAACTGTTAGTTAGCTCTCCATGCTATCATTGCACATATAACATTGTTATAATCGCCGCCTTCAGCCATTACTTAGAGCAGAGGATGGATTTCTATTTTCATTCAAAGGTCACACGTTCTTTTAGCCTTAGTTTTAAACCTCTGGATGTAATGAGACATGTTGCAGTTGTGCTTATCTTAAATGCTTCCTACTCAGGAACATAAACCATACGTCATCTTCTGACAAAATGATGAGGAATAACATATTTTCTAACTTATGACATATACTGATACAGATACACAAACAGGGTATCACAATTAGCCTTAACTAAGAAGAGAAAGAAAATGTAAATTTCTCCCATTTACATGTATATACAAAAGTACTGACATGCACCACAGTGTCAGTGCCGTACTGGATAACCAGCCAATGCGAGGGAAAATCCAGCACATAGCATACACAGCCCCATTAAGCAGCTGACTTTTAACAACATCATCACACTGCAACTAAAAAGCCATTTATATAGTTGTATCAAGTTCCTGAGTGTAATGTTGTTTCAGAAAGTATTATGTGTTTACTGAGATCAGTATTACGTGACTTTAGGAAAGAAATGTCTCGGCTTTCAAGTGTGGACAGATTCTCTGAAACACTCAGGGAGATTAAATGGATTAAATCTTAACTGCACTGCTGAGTCTTATTGAGGCCCCTCTAATGTCAACTGAGATTTTCTCAGCTAAGGGTCTATGAATGTGAGTCAGCCTAGATCCCAAACAAGACAGCACTCCGCGCACCAGCTATGGACACTATAACAAATAGTTTCTTAAATGTAAAAGATTATCACAGGTCTCAGTGATCCATGCATCGATTGTTATACACATCCCAACTCTCACTAAGTTATTCTGAGTAGAAACCACAGTATCTGCTTCTGCTGTTCATTCCAGCACAGTATGGGGCCAATTTAGTCACCACATGTGCATCAGTTTGCTGGTGCAGCAGAGGAAGAAAGAGAAGGAATAATAGTATGTTTCAGCTGACCAGATGTAATATTCCACAAAAACAAGCCTAAGAAATCATACCATTATTCTAATAAATATTCAAACTGCCCTTTCCATTTCATTTTAATTCGTTGAATTTCAATCATTTGAGCCTATTTGAATTTCAATCATTTGTATTCTAGTTATGGCAGAGAGCGGCATGTAACAAAGATCACAGCTGTACATGAACAGGGGAGGTTGTGGTTTAGGTTGGTACTGCAACCTTGAGACCCATGTGACCCACATTGGAAAATATTTTTAATCAACCTCTAAACTTCTTTCCTTTTTAGAACAGGAAAATGTTTTTCTTTTTCTTTTGCATTTTTAATTTTCTTTCACCAGTAGCTGAGTGGGTTTCATTCCTTCGTTGTGTCACTGTTCTGACCTTAATTGCCTTTTAGAGAAGAGAGCCAGAACAACAATACAATTATGATTGACAATTATGGCACATGATCTGACAGCAATGAAGCCAAGAACAGACACGGATTCATCCTGCGCGCTGCACTGTACTCACTGAGGCTCACTGGAGAAAGAACAAAAGATGAATCTGGGGATAAGAATGACTCACGGAACAGAGACACCATCACATCATGTACATAGAGCTCTGAAAACAAAATCTTTCTTCCACCATGAGGTAAAAATAGACCAACCTAAAAACTGTGCAACAGACTCATTAGCCAACTCATTGTTGTCAGACATACAATAATGATCATATTTGTACAATCATTTTGCCCTCTGTATGATCAATAAAGCATGTAAGATAATTTGATTATTTTGTGACTCTTTGTGTTATTAGTTGTTATCTGGATAACAAAATGATGATGAATGTGCCGGCGTGAGTGGTCTCAGCAGCGTTCACTCAAAATCAAAGCCTTGTGCCTTGAAAAGCATTGCTTCTGTACAATAAATTGCTTTGGAATCTCAACACAGCTCCGAAACGTCGGTATTGAGCATCCCATCCCTACTGGGGTCATGTACGATAATTCTAACTTCTGGTACGATACTTAAATATTTCCCAACTTCCAACACTGAGCCAAATCTATTAAATATAAATGAAGGGAAAATGTGGTTGTATCTCCTACATTAAAATGAATGAAAATAGAAAAAATACATAGCATATTTTCTGTTGAAGACACAAAGACAAGAAAATGTAAACGCAGCACAGTAACAAAAGTCCTGCCATCCAAAGGAAAGAAGGATGTCCCTTTGTGGTGTCTGACTTTAACAAACCCATTTCTACACACTACAGAACTACAGAAGAGAAGAAAAGTCTTGTTATCCAGGAGTTCTCAATACATTTTAGCTGTTGCAGCAAGTTGATACAAGTTAAGTGCTACCCCAGAGCAAAACTGTGCAAAACCACAAATTAACTCGCATGTCAACGGACAACCAAGTTCATATATATTTTTTCATAATATTTTCATATACTTATTCTTAAGGGAAGCTGATTAGGGGTGTTTAAAAAAAACAACAACTAGAAAACCACCCATGACTTTCATGACTTAACATGTGACATAACTATGTGTTGTTTCATATGTCACTGGGTCTGTGCAGACCTCTTAGCTTGATCTACTTTAAGAAGTTAGATTTAAGGTGTGAATGGGAGTTCACATGTAGAAAGATGAACAGGAGCAGGAACATGCAGCTTTCATTTTATCCACTACTACTCTGCATAGCTAACTGTACTATGTCTCTTTGTGTATTTCACCCAAACGAAATCCTGTGTATATAAAGTAGTCTGAAGGGATTCTGGGGTCAGATTTATTGTGGTCGCTAGACAGGATTGGGGGGGTTATTGCCAGTTCAGTTATTCCAGTGACCAGGAGGAGGCGTTCCTGAGATTGAAGCCCCCTGATAAATCTGCAGAGCTGGGATCAGAATCCATTAAAAGTAAAAGCAGTAATTAGTTTAGTATTCTAGTGCTGAGGCAGCCTTCAATAGAAGTTGTGACAGCAGGACACAGATTTACCTGCGCTGTCACATTCAAAGGCAGCTGGCACCTCCTTCCTGTCAGGGTTAACACAGCGGGGAGGTGGGGGGTGTTTCACTGAAACACAGGAACGGAAATGCGTGTAACACCCCAAGGGTAATTGACTATAAAACACTGTGGTGTTGTAGACCGGAGAAAGCTCTGCCCAGTGCCACCAAAACCTCCTGCCAAAAATTCACGTGTGTGTTTGTATGCAAGTGTGTTCGTGCCAGCGGAAGCATTTTGTCCAGATTTCTGTGGTAGGAGGGTAACCTTGCCTCGTTGATGGATGACATGGTTGATAACACCCCTGCCCATATATGCACATATACGTGCGCACACACACTGCTGTGTTACTCTTGCAGGAGACTGCGCTCGTGAGTAAAACCAAACAGGAATGAAACGCCAGGAGAGAAAGTAAGAAATACAGTTTAAATAAGATATAGATGAGAGAAACAAGACGTATGAAGAAAACAGACATAAGTTAAATTTAATGTTAAACTGAGGCTAGATAATTAGTTGATGCACAACTTCAAACGCTAAAAAAAATGGAATTAGAGTCTTTAAGGGCCCAAATATGTGTGCCAACCCAAAATCTTCGACTCAGGAAGAGCCTGGACAGGAATGTAATAAACTGCATGTCTGAAAGGGGCTTGTAATATGTACCTTAACGTCATTTTAGTTTGTACCTATGCCAAAAAAGTTATGTTGTGATTACTGTCTGTATGACATGTGAGCAGCTTTGCATTAACTACTGAACTGATCCTCCTGAAGCTTGATGGAACAAGAAACAACCCATTAACTTCAGGAGTAGATTTGATTAAGGGGGCAGATCCAGGATTTTTTCATCACTTTCTGTAACATTGCAAGATAGAGAAAGTGACATTTGACATTTTTTGTCAATTTCTCAAGAAACGACGAAACAAATCCGGCACTTGTAAGGTAACAGAGAAACCTTTGAAACATTTGCACTAGGTGTGTAGATGTAAATTAAGTGTATCATATTTTCCATGGTTTTTCAAGTTTTTTAACACCTGATCCCAATACGTAAATATGCAATATGATGATAAGCCCTGGGGGACGTACTGTATGAGCTCTCCAACTGCCTTCTTAATAATGTTTTTCAGACTCAAATTTGTGGCACAGTGGTTACAGGAGAACACACTTACATAATATGATAATAAAACTACGCAAAAGTTTGATCTCTGTGCTTGCCCATCTCAGACACATCACTGGGTTTACCTGTAATTGGGAAGCCAGCTTTTGAGTTAAACTGGAGGGCCACTTGTATCCACTGTGTTTGGCTCAATCTGAATTCAGCCTGCCCTTGTCATCGTGACACTTGCAAACATGAAAAACTAAGAAATATCTTCATGGTAAAAAGTACAGTATCAACAAAGCTAGTTAGCTATGCTGCTGCCATCTGCCCCATTTAGCACATGGACTTCTTCTTCTGTTTAATTTAACAACAGTTGATGTATAAAAGTTGAATTGCTGCCATCTACTGGTAAGTGACTGGTGCTTCTGCATTTGTGAATTCTGTGTGACAAAAAATGTGCAGAAAAACAGTCTCTATAGTCTGCAAAAGTTTGTTTGTAGATTGTGTCTTAAATAATACAACGAATGTGATATACAAGTCGTAATAGAGGCACAGAGGCAGATATACAGATACAAATCATAATGCAGTACAAAATATACAATTTACTTGTGCATTATGTTTTGAGCTACGTAACTTGATACCGGTTTTTGAGTAGTTTTGAGACACTTATAACACTAAGTCTGAGTGAGCGTTTGGGAGCAGGGGCATACATGATGACTTCCTGCAACATACACACACTCTCTATGCAAAGAGGAAACAGAGGGTAGGAAGTGCTCAAATCCTTCTGTCTGTTTGTCAGGAAAGATGTTGTCTTTCTTTTACCTCATGTGCTGACAGAAGAGGATTGTGGAGGATGTGAGAAAACATAGTAACCTTAGGGTTAAAGAATCACATGACATTTCGTCCACGTTAACTGTAACACTCACATGTACAATACAAATGAGTTGATATACAGTCATTACTCTATTAATCATGGATAATTGGGCAATTCTGATACATTGTCTCTTTTGCGATTTTTTTAAAAGGGTAATAATTATCTTAATATAAGGCATATTGAAGTTTTGCGTTTGATTTACTTGCTGTGTTGTATGTTTATTTCCATTAACCAGCCCTTGTGGACTTCTGAGGCCTTGAGAAAAAGAACTAAATTACTATGAATTTCATTAAATAACTCTGATACTAGCATGACCACCTTTTATTTTTCAGTTAAAAATCTTCATCCCTCACTGAAAATAAAAATACACAAACAAGTTCATGTCCTAACTTTTTTCTAATGAGAGTACAAAGAGATGGTACAGCAACTGACCCTAGAATCTTGAAGCATTATCCTCATGCTTCAACACGCAAAATAGCTAAGAGGGCTGCACAGACCCACAGATACATGAGACTTACATGTTAGGTTATGAAAGTCACAAGTGGTTTTCTAGTTCTTTTTGTAATAAACTCAGCAAGTATAAAACACATGCCCTCTTTGTACTGAAACTAGCATTGGTGGTTAAATAAACCCCAGTGTCTTGTGTCCTTCACACAATTTCACCACAAGTTAGATTGCCTTGAGTTTTTCCACAAATCCCTCACATTCTTTTTCTGTCTATATATATATATATATATATATATATATATATATATATATATATCATACTTATGAAAATGTCAGCCATAGCCAGTATATAATACACAGAGGCAGTATGTGGGCCTGAGCTCTCCATTCCTTAAGGCATCTAATGCTATGAACACTGAACTAGTGACACTAAAGTTAGAAATCAGTTGGTGAATATCAAACTTCAACACATCCAGCCGGTGAAAACCCTGCTGCTTTTCCCATGAGGTTCAGGTCCTATTTCATAAAAGTGTATTTATTTCTTCTCTTTGTGTATTTGTGTGTGTGCGCAGTGTTCCTGACCTGGGTGAACTGCTCGAGTGTACGCTGGGCAACCAGGATCCAGGATGTTTTCACCGTAGGAAAGCTGCTCGCCCTGGCACTCATCATAGTGGTGGGACTTGTCCAAATCTGTAGAGGTACACACACACACACACGCACAAACACTCTCTCTCTCTCTCTCTCTCTCTCTCTCTCTCTCTATCTCTATCTCTATCCCTCACACTCCCTGTGGTTTTGGTTTGAAAGTTATTCATAGCAAGATAAAATAAATAGGCTTAACTTACAATTTTGGAACTCTCAATAAACCTCAAAATCAGTACTATTCTATTAGAGTCTGTAGCCTGGATCCTGGGGGTGAATGTCTGTTTGTCGCTCTTTTTTTCAAAGGACTCATCAATTTTAAAAATAATTTAGCATATGACAGCTACAGGCAGTAATAACATGACATGTGATTCAATCATTTTTCATTGTAAAGCTCTAATGAGGATGAAGCCATATTGTAATAACAGCCAGCACCTGTTTAATGAGTTCAAAAGTTAAATATTAATCATTTCAATAAGTGTGAAGCCACTATTCTGTGACTCTACTATTAGATACGAGCCACACAAGGTCATGAAATCATTACTGATTCAACTTCTGCAGTTTTTCTCCTCGCCTGTCTCCAGGTCACTATGATGCCCTGCACCCCAGTGTGGCCTTTGAGTTTCGTCAGGAGCCCTCAGTGGGACAGATCGCTCTTGCCTTCCTCCAGGCCTCCTTTGCCTACAGCGGCTGGAATTTCCTCAACTATGTCACAGAGGAGGTTGTGGAGCCACGCAAGTACGGCACACACATGAAAAAGTTTTCATATCTCTTCAGTATTTTATATAAGCTAGTAAACAATAGACACCTTCGTCTAAACTGTGGAACATAATATCCACCTCAGTTGTTTGCTCAGAAACATAGACTTTATATAATGATGGATGACATTGATTCAGAAAGTTTAATTTTATTTAGTTGTCATTCAGGTGCATATGATTGACAGCTGAGATTCACTTAGGTCGAATGTGTGTATAGATGTGTGTATAAATAGTACTGTGATACCTTGACTCCATGCCCGTCTGGCTCCAAATATGCAAGATGGCATATCTGGGATATTTTCACTTAATTTCAGGATAGTGGCAGGAAGTGAGATGTGCAATCCATTTAGTCTATGCTCAGAACTCTAATAGTCATTTTAATTCAATTATTTGCTTGTTTATATTTTTACATAATGTCTTTTTAATGCCCTGTAAAGCCTACAAAGCTTACAGACAGTATATCATTATTTTTCTCCCCATCAGGAACCTGCCTCGTGCCATTTACATTTCAATCCCACTGGTGACCCTGGTGTACACTTTGACCAACATTGCCTACTTCTCCTCCATGTCCCCTGAGGAGCTGCTGGCCTCCAATGCTGTGGCAGTGGTAAGCATGTTCACCCAGGGCTTATATCCGTTTATTTACTGCTAAACAGGAGTGGCAGTTGTCTGGAAATATAATCACTGAAACTGTGTAGCCTCTTGAGGCTGAAAATTCATCACATGAGACAGCTCCTCAAGCCATTTATTCGATCAGTTATTCAATCATTAAATACAATTATTTATTTAAGTCCCAGAGGGAAACTTAGTGACACAGTCACATGAGGTCAATTTGTGATTTTATTTCATCAAACTGTAAAAACAAGTTAAGTCCTGTCCAACTAAACAATTCTCTCTGTACACTCAAGCCTTGTTCAGTCTTTTGATGAAATGAATCATGCATCAATAAATAGATCAAACACTCTGTAGAATTCAATGATATAATACATTAACCACTGTTTTGTTCCAGACATTCGGGGAAAAGCTGCTGGGGATGTTTTCCTGGGTGATGCCAATCTCAGTAGCACTGTCCACCTTTGGAGGAATCAACGGATATCTGTTCACCTCCTCCAGGTAGAACACACACTCACATGTGTTGAGTTTCTTCAAGTAAACTACATGCCAAAAAATGTTAATGACCTTTTGTGCTCCTAGAATGGCTCTCAGTAGAGTGCATACCTCCTCTTAACACCCATATAAATGTGTCTATTTGTAGATTGTGCTTCTCAGGGGCCAGAGAGGGTCATCTGCCCTATCTACTGGCTATGATCCACCTAAAAAACTGCACTCCCATCCCCGCCCTGCTGGTCTGTGTAAGTACTGTACTGTCAGGTTTGTCTATTGATTCAAAAGCAAAAGGGAAAAGAGAGTTCCTATTAATATGATGCTAATTTTAATGATTTTTAAATTGGTTTAATATATCCTTGATCCTTGTGTCTGTGTTCATGTCCCACAGTGCAGTGCCACAATACTCATCCTGTGTATTGGCGAGACACACAACCTGATCAACTATGTGTCCTTTATCAACTATCTGTCGTATGGGGTAACCATCGCCGGCCTCCTCTACCTTCGCAAGAAGAGACCCAACCTGGTCAGACCCATCAAGGTACACTAGCCTATGACACACATATCCATAATGGCACGAACAAGATGTAACTTAAGCTGTTTTTAGAGAAGAATTCCAGAAAATGTCCGGACAACTGTGTCTGGAAATGTTTAAGTGATTGGGTAGAGCCATTACACAATATATGAATTCCAATGTGGACATCACATTCTCGTTTAAAGCACTCTCAAAACTTGTTGTCGTTCCAATTTGACTGCTGCATTTTCGTCCTCTAGCTGTATAACAGCTCTTTTTCATCTCAAGATTTTAGTTTTTTTCAGTTTTACATCCATCACATGTTAGAAATATCATCAACATGCCCATATGCTCGTAGTGAATTTTCCAGACATTTTCCTGCTGTATTCTCACATGGCCTCAGTCAGATTTTTTCCAGACATTTACTAGCAAGGGTCTGGCAAGAAAAGTTCCAGAAAATGCATGAAGCAACGGACTCAGACAGAGTTCAGTTTTTTGTACCTGTTTACTTCAAAGTAACTGAAACACCAAAACTCACCAAGCTCAAATATAAACACTAACACCCCATTGTCTGTAATTGAGAAATATTAAAATATTCTCAACATAAACACAAAGAGTGCAAAGTAACAGCAACATATAGAATAGAACTGTAAAACTAGGATGGAGCTCAGTGTGAATATCTGCACCCAACAGTCCCCTTAGCAAACCACATTAAAATGCAACATGCAACTTCACCACTAGATGTCACTAAATTCTACACACTGAACCTTTAAAATCCTATTATATCCTGGCTCCTCCTTTCCCCAGGCCAACGTGTCATTGGGCAATATACTAAACCCCAAATTGCCTGTGACTGCTGTGTGTGAGGGATGTGTGATAGAGAGAGTGCAGCACATAGATCAATGACTGTGTGTGTGACCGGGTGAAAGCAAAACTGAAACGTTAACAATGCTCATCAGACTAGAAAAGTGATATACAAATACAGACATTTACTTATATGAAGAAGTATAAATTTCCAGATGTGTCATTTATAGCAAATGTTTAATAATCTGTATGATGGAAGAACGGATGGAATGAATCAGTGCCTGGAGTGAATTCCTGTGTTTCTGATTTTATTATGTGCAGGTGAACATGTTGATCCCCATCACCTACCTGATTTTCTGGGTTGTGCTGCTGGGCTTTAGTCTCTACTCTGAGCCGGTGGTGTGCGGCCTCGGCATGGTCATCATGCTGACCGGGGTCCCTGTGTACTTTGTGGGTGTTCACTGGAGGAACAAACCCAAATGGGTCTACAGGGTAGTCGGTAAGTTGCTGTGACACTGTAGAGTCCTTATTGAGATTATGTTAAGTATTTTGAAAATACCTGTGGTGGTTGTTTTTTGCAGAAAAATGCACGTATATGGGCCAGAAGCTGTGTTACGTGGTGTTTCCTCAGGAAGACCCTACAGAGACTGAACCCCTCACTTCCTCCAAAGCCACGGACTGAGTGCCACAATGAACCAGGAACTCCCTTTTTACATCAGCAGCTGTACTTACAGTGTTTGCATTACAATTTTTTGTTTTGTTTGGTCAGTTTTTGAATGCTGAAGGGATGATTTTACCTGTGTTCTTCCATAGGTGCTACCTTATGGGGTCTGCAATGAATCATCCCATATAAAAGAAGTGGATGGTTATATTTAGGACATTAGCATGTTAAAGGTACAGTGTGTAGAATTTTGTGATATCTAGTGTTGAAGTTTCGTGTTGCAGCTGAACACCCCTCACCTCACCCTCTCCTTCCAAACATGAATGAGAACCTGTGGCAGACTTTAATTGTCATAAAAACTCTAAGGTGTTTAGTTTGTCCAGTCTGGACTAATGTAGAAAAAAAATGTCAGTCTCCATAAAGGGCCTTTTCTGGGGTAAAGAAAATTACAATTCATATAATTTAGATGAAATGAACTAGTAAAAACATCATGAGGATTAATCTACATTAAATTTCTGACAATGGTTCCTTTTCACCTGAATCTTACACACTGGACCTTTAAGCCCTAAAGCTGGGGCGTGTGTTTTTTAATTTGTCTGTTTGGTAGTACTGTCCATCCATTCTCCTCACCAGTACACCACGTTTTCTCTTTCATATGGATTATCATCTTGTCTTCTCCCTTCTACTCACTGAAGGAGCTTCCATCTGCTTCACTTCCGAGGTCTTTTACTTTTGTTACTTAAACTAAATCTAATGTGCCTTATAAAGCGTATGTGTTGGAACCGTGCGTTGGTTTGTGCGGGTATTTGGAAAGCATCGTAACTTTTATGAGGTAAATATATGCAAGCAGTTTCTGCACTTACCAATGTTTCCATATTACTGCTGCTATCTTTTTTATCTGCTCTGTTACACTAATTTCTCACACGATGTTTACTGCTTGTCAACTGTGGATGAGTATTTTTCTGTCTGTAACTGCCTGGCAACAATACCTGGCCATGCTTTTTCTTTAAATCTCTCTCTCCCACTTTCTTATACTATCATTACTTTCTTTACTATCATTACATGAGATGTACTTCTTCACCTCTCTGTTCTTATAAAAGATGTACACGGTGACACTCATCTTTCCCAGCCATATCTAAATGACAGGGCGACACGAGGATCCTTAGTTTGTCGCTTTAGCCTGAGGAACGGCTAACGCTCTCAGAAATGAATACACTGCATTGTTGCGACTCATGATGACAGACTGTTTTTCCGGCTTTTTAATCTTCCGCAGTCTCTTCTGTCTCTTGAGTCAAGCACAACGAGCCTTTGTTGAAGCTTTGGTGCTTTGGAAATGTCCTCATCTCCAGGAATGCCACTGTGAAAGCTTGACCTGCCAAGACAGATGAAATTAGATTTCACATATTTCATCTGACGTGATGATACAGTGCTTACCGCCAACGTGTTGTCGGATCACACACATAGCAGAATCCACATTCACAGATAGGTGGAGGACTGGCAGTGGATGACTACCTGTGCATGCTCTCACTTCCCCCAAAGTCACACCACCACTGTGATGACACCAGGCCCAGTGACTTACTGTGATACCATTGACATGACATGTTAGAATTAACTACAGTCCCATTGACCTTCTTTCTGTTGTCCTGTTGACAATATATTGACTTATTATGGCCCAATTAAAAAATTCACTACAAATTATTTGGGTCAAATTACTCTCCTTTTTGAAGTTATATGAAACCCTTGCCTGTGGTCCTGAAGATAGTGTGTTTACTTGTATTTGGGGAATATTTCATAGAACTTGTAGAAAGTGCTTTATGTTGTTCATAGAACAGAAAATATTAAATTTTGGACTTTTTAACGTTAATGTAAACCAACTGGTTGGAACCTGGATGAAACTTTTTTTTCAGGACCAAGCTACTGGGATGTCCCTCTCCCATCAAACCCATGGACACACACTTAAGTAAACACATCTGTCCTTAATGTCCAGGTGCTGTTAGCTCAGTCAAGATCTGTAAATACTAAAGAAGGAAAAAAAACTGTTACAAATGTGTCTGGAACTCGTGAAAAGATCATTCCACAGACATGTTGTACATTTACATACTGCACAATTGATGGGTGTACCTGTTTTGTAAAAGTGTAAAGTTGAACAAGAATAACAATGTAATTGCATATTAAAACAGCAACTTCTGAGATCACTGTTTTGGGGAGTACGGGATTGGTTTGTGCAAAATTGACTACTCACTAAACATACTGTTAAATTACTGACAAGATAAACATGTTATATCCTTGTGTATTTTGTACACTACTAGAAATATTACAAATGATGACCAGCTTGAACTTTATTAATTGCAGGCACAGGAAAACAATGATAAATCAACAAGAAAGCTCTCATGTCTCACATCTCAAACCTTACAATGTCTCTTTCAGCAGAAAATATACAAATATAGATCTCAAAATGAAAGAAATGCTTCTATACAAACATGGTATTTGTCGACTTCGGCCTTTGACGAGGAACAAGCTTCAAAACCAAACAGCAAGGAGAGGGGATGTCACTATCAGACAATCACGTCGACCTATGGCCTTGATCCAGTGTATTTACCCACATGTCCATAGCATCATCTAAGCCACATTGGCACTTCTCACATAAACCTAATAAAAACTGAAAAATGTTCTATATGTTTATCACTTAAATAATCATGTAAATACACTGAGTTAAGGTCACTGGAGGAAACATTTTCCTTTCACTAACTCTCCTCTCATAATAATCCCAGAGTCAAGATTCCTGATGCAGTATAGTGCCCTGTAGATCATCAATGTCATGTCACACACAGTCAAATCGGATCTCTTCAAACATGTAAACCACCGCTGTGATCCATGAAATGATCATTAAAATGGCAAGGGGAAACCATTAAGGCATTTGGAACATGTCTATACATTACAAAGCAAGGACTTTTTAAACTATTTAAATTGAAGTCAAATATGTACTTACAGGCTCTGAATTTAAACAATAAGGCAATGCAGAATTTAAAAAAGCACAGAATGCATGAAACTAGGGATGAGTAAAGAGATTTGGATTTCTCCATAAAGTAGCTCAAAGAGAGGGAACGGAATCAGAGCAAGTCCTTAAGCAGTAACTATGGGAATATGGGGTATGAAGACATCTCTAATGGCACATAATATGTAGCAGCTGTTTACAATAAAACTTCTATAAATGGCACGTTCAGCTCACTTGAAGGAAAAACAGCAGGATAGACAGTAAATTTAGAACCGAAACCTGACACTGCAGCTGAACATCAACCAGTTATCTCTTCAGTATCAATGTCCTGCAGTAAAGAAGGAGAAACTCACCGATTTCAACAAAAATGAAACAACATTCTGTTCAGTCCAACAGTGATTAACAAAAAAGGTTAGCAGTGGATGGAGCGGCTTCACAAAAAGCCTCACAGGTTTAATCTAGTTCAAGTTCAAGTTTGTCAAGGCAGAAAGAGTTGTATAAAGAGGAACTAGTATAGGTCTCCACTGGAGGCTGAAAAAATAGAGGTCTTTGTTTTAACGTCCTGTCAAAATTCCACAGCATTGATATGATTTCCACTGAAATAAACCAGCAGTCAAGACATGTGCAGTGTTCCAGTGTGCAGTCAGCCGTTGCTGGGAAGAAAAAGACTCTACAGTCATTTTTCCGACATGGTTACTCTGTGCCCCAAATTTCCTGGATATCCACGTAAACTCGTAAATCTGAGCTCACGGGCAGATTCACTGAAGTGATGAAAGGCTGGAGAGGAGAGAGGTTGGGTTTGATTCAAAGAGGAGGAGCTGAGCAGAGGAACAGACTCCAGTGTAACTGGACTCACCATCCAGTTTACATCCAGGTTTGGCTGTTGTAAAGATGATGGTGTATAAAGAATGGTAATCCAATCACCACTTTCAAAAGAATTAGCAAAGAGAGGTTTGTTGAAAGTATCAGTGAAGAAGACAAGCAATGAAAACAAACATGTTGAACAAATACTGACGAAGGTTATATCAGCACCACTCATGGCATGTGTATTGTTAAGGGCCCAACAAAGTGCAGTGTCGCATTTGGTGTAATCTGAATATGTTGAATATTCATAGAAATTGAATAATCAGGAGACCAGTGCCCTGTAGCAGCAGCAGCTGGGACTCAAGTGACATTGTGGCCCACGAAAACTGCCAATTCACGACTACTGATTCTAAAGTTCAGGGTTCTGCGTACAGAATTCAGCTTCACTGAACTCTGAATAAACAGTTGAACAGCTCTTTGTGCAGCAGTGGTGTCGCCTCCATGGTTCTGTGGACACGTTTTTACTTGCCTGGGTTTTTGACCCTTTATCCAGTTTTTGTGCTAAGCTAACCTAAGCTAAAACAGTTATATGAAGCCATATACTAAAATACGCAGTATAAATTGAGTGATCCCCTCAAATGAATATTTCCCAAAGTGTCAAACATTTGCTTTTGAGTGGTTTAGGAGGCTAGTCTGGTGATTATTTATATTTTTCTTCTTGTCAACAGATCGCAATGTAAACATCCAAACCAACAAAGTACTGTTTGTGTGGCCTGTTGTGGCTCATTCCTCTGGACCACAGAACTCCATTATCCCAAATGCAATAGTTTTGGGACAAATTCATTAAAAACATGCATCTCTGGCATCTCCTCTCATTACTATAAATGTGCACACTGTAGTTAATTTTGTCTCAGTGCTAAATACACCACCCTGCTGCAGCAAATACACACTGGTTCACCAAATGTGTGTAAATGCACAGCATTCACTATTTACTCCTGTTTGGGTTATGGTACACCAAAACTTTACCAGCATGGTATTCTAGAAAGTTATTCAGCCTCATTAAAAAATGTACACATTAAAGTACACTCACAGGCAGGGGAATTGAAAAAGTATTGACAGACGGACAAATGCATCATTAGTTTGGGCATTTTCACACAGTTTGTTGACAATATCAAAAATGTAAAATAATGCCAGCTTCATCCTTCAATGTGAAATGTCAAATAATGATAATTATAACACCACCTCATAATAAATTGAATATAAGACAGGGTAGAGGCAATCGCTCAATAGCCTTTTTAGTTCACAGTATATAGCGGCGTAAAATGGCTCTGGGAAACAACACAAAGGCTGCTTTGATGAACATGTAATCAATATTGTATTGGTACTGGTGTCCAAATCTAAGTGTAATTTTCAATAACAGTAAGTTGGGTTAAACAGGGAGGTCTGAATGCAGTTGCCTGCCCAATGACATCAACAGCACAGACTGTAAGCGTTTCTTAAATCTTAGGAGAGGCTGCATGTGGGTAATTATTTTTTGCTATGTCCATTTTGAAGCATTTTAAGGGTATAATGGATATGAGTTGGTTAATTTTCATTGGGTGTGATGCTATACTGCCACCATGTGTCAGGCTAAGGTATGAGTCTGACCTCTGGATCTGGCGGGGAAACATTTGAAGGACACTTTAGCAGAACAGATATTATCAACACCAGGTGGAGAGTAAACTAAACTTTCAAGATGGCGTTGTCTTCCTCCCTGAGTCTCCTCCCTCATCACTAAGGGTCCTGCCAAAACTGCAGAGGCTGCTCTTGCACTCCCTCCTCTCGTCCTTGCTTCGTTTGTCCCCGATCGACACTTCCACTGTAAAGTGGCTGTCACTGTCCTCTGGTTTCACGGAAGAGGACAAGGGCCCAGTGGGTGAAGTCGCATCTGTACCCAGTGGATGAGATTGGGATGTTGGTGTCTGGGAGCTGCTGGGAAACACAGGGGGTGAGATGGGGGACAAGGGCCCTAAAGGGGAGTAACGTCTCAAGGAAACTCCTTTAAGATTAACTGCGAGCTCCAGAACAAGTTTCCTAGAAGCCCTGGGGTGGCACAGGGGCACAGAGGCTTCCTGTGGCGAGGGATGATGTCTGCTGGCGGGTGAAGAGTCACTCTGAGGCTCCCACTGTGGAGTCAAGGCTCCTTCCGTGCTGACAGGTGAGGGCTCCTCGTCCTCTGGACTGTCGGCTGACTGAGAGGAGAGAGGTGAGGCAGGGCTCTCTGGTGAGTAGGGATGCAGGTCCATGGACGCTGAGCAGGTGGAGCCTGACATACCCACCATATCAACCTCATCCCCGAGCTGGTCCCTGGCCTGAGGCCCCTGCTCCACCACAGTTCTGTAGCTGTGGAGTCCCAGTATGATCTGTGTGGGTCCAGGGGGATCTAGCAGTAGGGCTTGGCCTCGGGATCTCCCTCCACTGTGAAACAGGCGACTCCACAGATGTGTGAATCGTCGTTGAGAGGAGGCAGAGGAGGAGGTGGAGCGCCGTGATGAATGACGTCTGATCTGTCTGCGCATCGCCAAACGTAGGTTCTGTAACATGGAGGCCTGCAGGAGGGAGAGGGTAGACAGAGGAAGACAGAGAAACAATGATTCAGATCAAGGCAACTTCGAGCCATATTCTTGTGAGTTTTGAAGTCTTTGAAGTGAGAGCCTTTAGAGTAGAGAAGCCTGACCTCCAATAAAGCTGTTGGCACATTTTTATTTTCAGCTCAAAGTGAAATTCAATATCATTTCCTCTGGATGACATTAAAAAATATTTCTCTGTTGCATAAAGAGCATGATTCTAAGGCTCCATTATGACATCTCATACAATACGCAGTAGTAGCTCTACAGCACATGGAAGTTCATTCATATAACTGAGTTCAACCTCATTAATTGCCTAAAGAAATAGTTTAGATTTCTAGGGAAAAAAAAATTCTTTGCTTTCCATGCAGGGTTGATTAATTAAATACAATGGGTTGGTTAGCTTAGCACAAAGACTGGAAACATGTTCCCCAGATCAGTTGCTTTTACATACACTGAACAAACAAGAACAACACGGTGTAATATGATGATGAATGCTTCCAGGATTTATGCTAAATGAATCTAATCGGCTGCTAGTAGTGGTGCTTGTAGCGTTTGATTTGCTATAGACATATGAAGGTGATATCTCTCTTCTCATTAACTGATGTGAATGACAGCATTTCCCAAAATCTTAAACTCTTCCTTTGAATAATTAACTTAAACAATAACTACCAAAACTGAATTTACAATAGTAGATCTACAACTGCACATAGAATTGATCTCATATAGACAGTGGATAGATGCCATTTAACTCCCATAAATGGCACATCATATATCTTATAAGTTATAACAGTTTTCCTTCAGTGTAGGCTCATTGGTTATGCATAGAGAGGAATTTCAGTGTGAGGGTCAGGCTTCCACTACCACCGCTGGACTGCAAAAATTGTTTTGTCAAAGCTGGATGCTCATATCCAGAATCACAAGAAATAACACAAGCGTATGATTATGTATGCTGCACAACCTGGGTGGGGTTATATACTGGGAAGTCCTCCACAGGAGGGATGAGACCCTGGGCAATCAGCTGACCATAAGAGGGAGGGGCTTCTCTCTGAACAAACTCGGCCTCCATGCGAGTCATCTGAGTCTCAAAAGCTCTACAGACGACAGAGAGAAACATGGAGGGCACAGCAGAAAAAAAAGGAGGGAAGACTTTCTGATAAATCAAATATCTTATTTTGAAAAACACAATGAGTCATTTCATCCCTGTAGAGTTTGTAGATTTACACCATCAACAGCAGCAAAACACAATAATAGACTGAGTGATGGTTTACCTTTGAAAAGCACTCATAGGAGACAAAGTTTTTGTAGTGTTTAGTATGTCAACAGTAATAAAACTGAATTAAGGACAGAGGTGTTGTGTCCTCACCTGTACTCTCTGCTCCTGAGTGAGTGGAGTTTGAGGGCACAGCCGAGGGCAATGACCAGCAGCAGGCTACACACAAGGCTCCCGATCAGAGCGGCAGTGATGACTTTCCTGGGTACTGCAGCCAGGCAGTCCCTCTCGTCGCTCCCGTCTAAGCAGTCCTCCTGGCCGTCACACCGCCACGTCTCAAAGATACAAAGGTTAGTCCCACAGTGGAAGTTTCCGGGCTGGCAGTCGTAGCAGTTCTTCTCATCCGACCCATCCGGACACCTCTTCTGGTTGTTGCAACGCTCCGAGGCTGGGTAGCACACTCCGGTGCCGCCCTCACAGGGAAACTCCCCATCTGGGCACGTTGGGCAGGCCTCCTCGTCGCGGCCTGACGGGCAGTGCCAGTAGCCATCGCAGCGCTGGCGTTCAGAGTAGCAGCCCTGATCGCTGCCGCAGGGATGCTCACCAGGAAAACAGTAACCTTTGACCTGGGAGTGGGGAGGAGAAATATGTCACCGCCTAGACACCAAGAGGATGAGATCGCTTGATAGAGTGTTTTCTCTGCATCAATAGAACATTTACTTTCTCTATCAACCAGACATTCAGATAAGTATTGATTCCTTAAGATAGATGGAAAAAGTTACATCACCAGATTGCTCTACCTGGTAAGTGGCGTTGAAGCCGTGTCCAGGGCTGTGAGGCTGGGCCATGTACAGCACACTCATCTGACCCCGGCTCGACTCCAGCAGCGCCAGGCGCCTGTTGTTATGGTACGACAACACCTGTAAAAGATGCTCCGCCTGCTGCAGCAGGCCGTCGTAGACATGCAGTGAATCTCTGGGCCCGAGCTGCAGGTCCAGCTGCAGCACGATGGGTTTGGGGTCCTGGGTGTCCAGCAGCCAGGAGCATCTCAGCTGTGTCGCAGCGCTGCGATTAGGCCGGAAAAAATCTGGAGAGGCAAAGGAGCCATAGAAGTTCCCCAGACGTTTGCCGCAGGTGGTGTCGGGGCAACCCACTTCATCAGTTCCGTCAGGGCAGTCCCGGGCTCCATTGCAGCGCAGGGTGGCAGGCAGGCACCGGGTGGACTGGACCTCGGTGCACGGTAGGGAGCCAAAGGGGCAGAGGCCAGGCTGGGCTTCAGTGGGGGGAGGGGAGCAGCTGCGTTCATCGGTGGCATCGCCGCATTCATCCTGACCGTTGCACTTCCAGGAGCGAGGAAGACACTTCCCGTTCCCGCAGAGGAATTCATCTGGCTGACAGCTGCTCTGACCCAGGTGACCTGCAGAGGAAAGAAGTGAACAGACTGGATCTTAAAACTATCATCAAGACAAAGAACTGACATTAACATGTGAGCCAACATTAGTGCAACAACACTCAGATTAAATGTGATGCAAAGGATTTAACACATCAAACAAAATAAAAGCTAAGGCTAAACACTGCCTAATGAGTTTAGATTAACTGCCTTCAGTCTGGCAGCTAATACACACTAATTGTAATGCTCTTTGTCTGGATTACTATAAACCCTGCTCCACTGTCCAGAGCCTCGAACTGTAATTTACTGAGAGAAACCGAAGGTCACTATAAAATTCCTGAAAGCAGCCATTATAAAAAGAAAAAAAAAACATTTGTAATTATACAGTCAAGATCAAGATCACCATAACCCTTATCACCCTGTGGCCTGGAGTATATCATTGTCCATGCCCCAGTTGTAGCTGAAGGTCGGCAGACCTCAAGCTCATGCAGGCTCCAAACTGACACACATACTCTCAGATTCTGACCAGAGCCAAGAGCCCAACAAAGTCTAATGACAAGACAACACATTTCCACAGGAATAAAGAAACTGTGGTGAAACACGAGGACTGAGAATAAATAATGTGGTGTGTGTACTGCATGGAGGCATGAAACTACACCATCATACTCAAAGCTCTGTTTTTTATTCCCAACATTACAATGTAATGTAATTTTAATATTGTAAGATGTGCATTATTTTGGTGGATATTCATTAAGTAGATCATATTATCTCTTAAAGATAATTCATCTTAAGGTAATCATGATATGGTCGTGCACCTTACATGCATGCAATGAGAGTAATGTCCTCTCACCTCGGATGTAGGAGAGACGGAAGCCCTGAGCTTGCCCAGAGCTGTTGGCCTGAGAGTGGAAGTAGAGCCACACACGCCCCCTGGTGGAAATGACAGGTGGAGGTAGCATGGAGCCACATAGCCTGGATTCCCCATTCCACATAGGAGTCAACATGAGCCAGTCTCGAGAACAACTTCCAGACTCCGCCAAGTCAAAGTTACGGAAACTAGAGGAGAGAGTTTATCATTTCAGGTGCTTCCAGAGAAAGAACTCATGTGACTGCTGTGCATGAACGAGTGACTGTACCTGATGGTGATGACCTCTCCCTGACCTCCCTGGATATGCCAGCTGCAGTTGACTCCAGCGGGGTAGTTTAAAGGCCACGAGGGGCTGTAGATCACACCCCTCCGCTCCGTGTGGACCTCCACCTGCTCACTGCAGCCTGCTGGACGACAAAGAGTCCGGGGGGGACGGGGATACACACATCAGTGAGGTCCATCTCTACAATCCTTCTGTACATCCTTAACGCCACCGATGAAACACTGACTGTTATTATTTTTCAGTGTCAGGTCTTTGTGACTGAGATCAACATGAACAAAAGACTATTCTTTTTTTTTGATTTACTAGTTTTCTTATTCAGTACAAATCAAAATGAGATAAAAGGCAACATTTCAATGACTGACTCTTTTAAAGGAGAAGATCTTCCTTATTTTTGTGATTGTCAACAAACTAAATGAAAAGGCTAAAGCCAACAATGTGCTGATCTCTCAGGAATATCTGACTTTCCCAGCCTGACTGTTGCACCCAAACTCTTTCGGTGTTACTGCAGGAGTGAATGTTCAACTTTACAAATCATCACAAATATATATATATATAAATTGATTTTTGAATAAGTAAAAGAGTTGGGGTCTATGTTTTTGGCAAACAGTACTCAAGAAAAAATAACGATGCTTGGAACTACTTTCAGCTGCTGACTGACACACATTTGCTGTGCTAGTGAGTAGCATGATGTTGCATGTGTTGAATAATGAAGGAATATGTCACCCAGTCCATCAGTGAGGATCAGTGATGAGTTATTAATGGTCTTTGGACAACAATGGAGCTCTGTGACTCACACAGGAATAAGATGTATCATGAGGCTGCTCAGAGACTTTTTGTTACCAAGATCAATTTATTGATTTGGATATTTTCAAAGGTTGTGTTAACATTAACAGTCAATCACCCTTTTTTTTGCTATTGCTTTTGTTTCTTTTAACTTTTTCTTTTGCTGTTACTTTTACATTATGTTGTAATATTTCACCTATTTCTCTGATGTCTTGTATTCTTGTCCTCCTCATTAAGCCCTCTGTAATGGCTGTTTGAAAAGTGCTACATACAAAAAGTTATTATTATCAGTGAGTTGTGAAAGGTAGTGTAGTTGTTGCTTTAGCCATGATGAACTAAGAGTTATGCATGCTCAGCAGGATCCTTACTGCTACTGCCAGAACACACACACACACACCACTCACTCAGTCATTTTGTCTCTTTTGTCTCTGATCGATGCCAAAACCTAAAGACAATCACTACAACAAGACAAACGACCTTATTGCCTTTCAGCAGAGCTTTGTGCTGATCACACGGGAGCCAAAACAGACGCAGCAGCAGTCAAACTGGCAGCCACGGCAACAGCATCGCCTGCTGCCATCGCACCATTGCCCCAGGGAACGACACAGTGTTGGGTGGCCAAGAGGAGCAGCAGGAATAAGGCTTGTGCAGAGTGCAGGCAATGAATCCTATGAATTCTAAAATGTGAGGACATCAGGGTGAGGTTTGGTTTTATCACAGCTGTTTGATTAGAAGCCAGAGGAAGGAGATTTATTCATTAACTTAAATCGTGATGTAAGCGGAATATTAATAGGAGGGATTTTATTCTCCTTCTCGTGCTGAGAGCCCATCTTATTACACTCTTAATTAACCAGAACCATAACGACAGGACATTAGCTGAACGGCTCCACCATGATTATCCCACACCAGCACACAGCAGCAGGTCTGCTCTCTCTTCTGCTGAGTGTGTGTTTGTTTCAGGCTTTCCTGATGAATCAGTGCAGTCAGCAGAGTGAAACAGGGGCGGAGGTGGGGTGGAGGAATTCCTAAGAACTCAGTGATGGATAATGACGATCCAGACAGGACCTGGTAAGTAGAGTTGCACAATGTTGGATTCTGGTGCAATGACTCTTAGGTTTTTGATTGTGTTTCAGTCTCCTTTTGTGTTTGGGTTGATTAAGCTGCTGTTTTTAATTTCTATCAACATTTGAACAAACTTATTTTATCATCAACAGCAACAGATGTTCAAGGAGAAAGCATCTGCACCAGTTCAACCCACAGTAGTCTCAACAGACCAGAATGCACTGCAGCTACAAGACATTTTATTGTTTTGAAGATGGGGTGAAGCTGAGCATTTTGCTTAAGATTTTAATTAACTCTTGTGTTCCCACGTAGGTTATTCCAGACACAAGTTCAAATTATTCAGAACAGTGCAAAGAAAGAAAGCAGCTCATTTGTAAGGTGTAATAAGCCAAACGGTTATTTTAATAATGCATAATATTGTATAAGCTCATCATGTTCTAAGTCCAATCATTAATTCAAAGCTAAAACACAGAGGGCTAAATTAGGGCTGAGCGATAAAAAAAGATCAATAATTATCACAGAATATCAATATCAATATAACTAAGGTTCAACATATTGATTAATATCTGCTGATCAAGTGTTTGTCATTCTATGTTTATACAAGTTTAAAACACAAAAACAGACATTAAACTAAAATAAATGATAATGTGTCATTTATTGTTATAATTATCGATATCGACTGATACAAAAAGGTTGATATAATTTTTGGCATTATTGCACAGCCCCACAGGTTAGATATTACAATATTTCCCTCTGGAATGCAGTGGAGGAGAGGTAGTAAAGTAACACAACCTAGAAAAACTCTGATGACAAATGTACTTTATCTACTTTGCACCACTGATACTGTTCAGGATACCTGAGAGAAAAGCTGCAGGAGGATTCAGGTTTATTACAGTATAAAGTCCTGTCATTTTTCATTGTTGTAGTCTTCAAAAACAATGTGTAATCCTGTGTGTCTGTAGTGAAATAAAGAGACACTGGCTTCACTATGATGAATATCAGGTTTTATGCTCTCTCAGCGACAAAAGACTGAAAGAAAGACTGAAGATGATCAGAGTATGTGTGTGTGTGTGTGTGTGTGTGTGTGTGTGTGTGTGTGTGTGTGTGTGTGTGTGTGTGTGTGAAACGAGAGAGAGGAAATGAGACTTAAATCTTTTTCATAGTCAAACGAGTCACAACATGATGTGTTTCTCATAAAACCTTCCCTCTCCACGTACACACATTTGTACTTCAGTTTTTCTGTGGACACTCGTTGAAATAATGAATTCCCACAGCCCCCGACCTCAACCATACAAACTGATCATCTGACCCCAACCCTAACTTTAACCTGAACCTTATATTAACCTAAACCTAGCCTGAGCCCAACCCTAACCTTAACCAGAACCTTATACTAACCCTTACCTTAACAAAACGCTAAAGAGAACCTAACCTTGACCTAATACTAACCTGAACCTAATACTAAACCTAACCCTAACATAATACTAACCTGAACCTAACCCCAACCTAAAGCTCACTCTAACTTAAACCTAACCCTAACCTCAACACAATTCTAACCTGAACCCTAAACCCATGTCTTCACCCTCTAATCAGCCCTTTAAAGATGTTTCAAAGATTAAGGACCTAAATATCCTAAAGGTCTAATTGTCTCACTGGTCTTCACAACTTGTTGCTATGAAAACAGACACACAGACACACAGACACACACACCTTCAGAAACACTTTGATAATAGAAAGAGGAGAGGGGATGGGAGGGGGGAGAGTAGGGGAGAGATTGAGTGGCTGCAGAGAAGCAGTGATGTAATGCTGATAGCAGCATCACATTGTGGAGGAGCATCCATGTTTCCACACACAGCCTGATCATTTAGCCACCACAGATCGATAGCCCCACAGGTCTGAGCAGGATGATACCCTCATCTTCTCACTCCGTCCCATCGCAACAGTGCAGACAGAGCTGTCTCACATCTCCTCATCACAGGGACGCGGGACTCAGCGGCAGGCTAAAGGACATCCACCACTGACACAGTGGACAGAGGAGAGCTCTGCTGTGAGAGGCTGGTATCGGAAGCTGTGTGAGGCTCCTCAGTGGTGATCCAGATGCAAACAAACACCAAGGGACACAACATCTGTTCAATCACTCGACCTGAACCACCGGGTACAGAGCCGCGCACACATCTCCATGAAAACATCTCAGCAGAGAGGATGCATTGTTTTCTCTCTCTCTCTCTCTCTCTCACCTGCACAGAGCAGAGCGGAGCGGAACCACATCAGCCCGAGCAGCAGCTCCCTCACTCCCATGGTCCTGCGGGGGCGGCCACTGTTATCCGGAGCACGGGTCCAGCGGTTTGCTCCACATCTGGGTCCTCCAGCACAACATCTGTCTTCATCTCACACACACCGACGGGTGCTCACTGAGAAAAGCCCATTGTGTCCTTTGGAGGAGCAGCCAAGACACCGGAGTTAAGTTAGCTGGGGCATACAACTAGACTTCCGGTTGTTGTCTTCAAAATAAAAGCTGCCAAACCCAAGAAAGAGTGCATCCAAGGACACTCGCTGTCAGCCCTTCTTCGGGTGTTATTTAAAAAAAAGTTTTTTTTCACAGTTTGCAGTATTTGGGTCTGAGTGATCTACCAGGACAACGAATGCTCAGTTAAGGGCTGCAGTTAGATGTGTTCTAAGAAGTTTCCATACATATAATACTCTACTAAAGTGAAAGTAATGTGTGACCAACAAAAAAAGCATGTCCAAGGAAAGATATCACGAGCATTTGATCAACATTTATTATAAAGATGAAGCACAAAACAAATGATTAAATAAGTCAATCTGTCCAACTGAGTCCAGTTCAGCCACAGATCCATCTAGTTGCGTTCCTCAAAACACTTGGGAGCCATCAGACGGCACAAAGCCACCACACGGTCTAAATCCATAAGCCAAGAAACATATTTTGTGCATTGCAAACAATTTGAAGATTGTACTCACACGTTTATTTTCATATTGCACATTTAGAAAAACAGCAATGTACTGTATGAAGTAATAATAATACACTTTATTTGAATAACAACTTTAATACAAGAAATGCAGCTCAAAGTGCTTAACATTGAATATAGGTACGAATAAAAATCTGTTCATAAAAATAAAAACACGCTCATGAAAAATAAAACCATGTTAAATGTAAGTTATATAAGTGAACAGATTTTAAGTAACATAATAATGTGTGAAAATGAAATTTAAAAGAAAAGGAAATAAAATGTAATAAAAAGTGTATAAAACAGAAAAGAGAGAAAGTGATGAAAATTATAAAAGCGCAGGAGTGCGGGCAATGGTGGTGTAAAGTTTTCTAACAGACTGAAGCTCTTATTTTGAAGAGAAAACTGTCCAACTTCCGCTCTGCCTGTGATCTAGTCTGTGATCTGCTTGCCGCATCTACCAGGACAGAGCGGACACATTCTTCTTTGTTTATCTGTCTGGTTTTGTCCTCACTGAAGGACAGAATGACACCAGCAGTCGTGTAGAAGCTGTAGACGTTGCTCTGGTGAATGTTTTCTCACCACAGGCTGAATTGCTTGTTCAAATGAAGAGTTCTTGGGAGAAAGGTTTCCTCAGGATTGTCCTCATCCTCCATTGTAGGCTGACGACTTCTTATCTCAGTGCCGCCCCCGTATGGTCAGATGGATGCACTGCAAAGTTAATGTGCAGAACATTTGCACAGAAGCTACTCGATGTGTTTTTAAAGAAGAAGCAGGTTGTGTTTTTAAAGAAGAAGCAGGTAGAGTTTTTAAAGAAGAAGCAGGTAGTGTTTTTAAAGAAGAAGAAGCAGGTTGAGTTTTTAAAGAAGAAGCAGGTAGTGTTTTGTAGAAGCAGCAGCAGGTTGTGTTTTAAAGAAGAAGCAGGTTGTGTTTTAAAGAACAGTCTGTTTTATGTATAACATAAAGAAAACGATGACTCCACTGTGAACATGAGCTGGTGGAACCCAGTGGCGGAGTAAAAGCAGCAAAAGGCACCGCTGGGATTTGAACCCAGGATCTCCTGTTTACTAGACAGGCGCTTTAACCAACTAAGCCACGGCGCCGATGATGACGCAGGAAAAATAAATCTTTAAATACGTTGTGCTTAATCTGTGACGTCACATAATTTTGTATTTCTCTGCACAACATTGGAAGACTCGCGTTACTCACGATACAGTGAGAAGCTGCAGGACTGTTGACTCTGCTGGAGGAATCATACAGGTCATACAACTGTTTCTGCCTCTTTCTGTCTCATTTCTCCTGCGCTCCTATCTGTTCATTTCATAAAGTGTGTGATACGGTCATGTCAGGGTGCATCATAGGCTCGTTACCTCCGCTGCTGTCGAGGAAATAGTGCCACCCTCCTGCGAGCCGCATTACATATCACCTATAACTGATGCGCGTCTTCACGTGGTGTTACGGTAAAGGTGCTCGGCGTTAAAGGTTTCATGTCTACGGAGCCCCTGGAGTCCCAAACGATGTTTTTATCTTGCGCTTTTGTATTTTCACAAAGCACACGATATTCTCCTCAGGGTCTCCATGGGATGAACAAGAGGGAGGGGAACATTTAAAAAGAGAACGTTATGAGTGCCATAATGAAAAATGAGCTGAATTTCCCTTTAATTTCCTCATCATTTCTAGAGTAAAATCTTCAGGTCTTCTGAAACTTGACACACGGACACTGGGGGTCCAAATTCAATTTCACCTCAGAGAATTCTTTCTTTTAAATATTTAATAGGAGCAAGTAATGAAAGCCATAATAAGAATGGTGTTATTTTTCCCTTTTACATTTTTTTCAAAATGTCTGCTTTAAAATATCTTGACATACAGACAGTGGGGGTCACCATGAACATTTCTTTTGTACATTTGAAGGTCACCAACTACCAGTAGACGTTAGCAGGTGTTAGTGTCCTCCAGCAGATGTTGGGGACATAACTTCAGTTGTGCACGTTAGTGTCATCAGGTGCTTTGACCTTTTAATCAAAGATACAGGCCGAACTTAAGCGTACACTGAGGCTAAAGGTAAATCTGACTGGCTAGTGGTTTGTATGGCAGTTGTATGAAAGCCATGTGGCCGCTCAGTAGATCAGACATCATTACCCCTATACACCTTTTAAGAACATAGGACAAGATGGAGAATATACCCTCTACATTCTACCGCACTAATTAATGCCTACCGCCAGTTGATGTTATTGGATGTTAGTGACGACCAGCGGATGTTTGTCACATGTCTTCAGCTGTGTACCTTAGCATCATCAGGTGTTTCAGCCTTTTAATCACAAGGGCTTGTCCATGGATCCCCATATCTTTGAGCAACCTGATGGTGGATGTTGCAAGGAAAACCCTGCAGCCAACCTCCACAGGGCAAAACTTTTGCTTTCTAGCCATGTTGCTCTGACTCAAATGCCATGTCTGCATACTGCAGGCTTTTCCTCTCATTCTCAACATTATCCTCCAAGGGGACTGACAGTTCTATGAAGTAGATGACACGCAGGGTGTTAAACCAGATTATCAGGTCAGGTCTTAGGATGGTGGTGGCAATATATGATGGGACTTTAAGTCGCTGGCGCACGTCCACCAACATACCCCAGTCTCAGGCTTGCTCCAACTGACCACTCCTGGTCAGTGAAGGAGGCCCTTTGAATTGGGTGAACAAGAGTGTTGTGAAATATGTCACCTCCCAAGGACTTTTAAAAAACATATTTAATATAACATATTTCTTCTGTTTTCTTTTGATTTTATTTAAATACAAATCCATGTTTTACTTTTTTCAGTCTAATCTAGTTCTGTTTATTGTCAAACATTATATTCCACATTACCTGTCATGAATACAACCAAAAGCTCAGGCGCTCCTGGCACAGAGCTTATTGCTCTGAACTCCTAAAGGCTCTGTGCTGATCTTGAGCTGCGTTTGTTTTCTAATACAGTTTTAGTGCCATTGCTTTCACTCCTCCTGGCACTGGAACTTCCCCTCTACCCAATTAAAACATTTTTTGTTGAATATTTAATTTTGTTATGACTATTGATGAGAATGCTGAAAAACTAAGACGCACACAAAGCACATATTTCAACAATTTATTCAACAACTTCATAGACATTTTCTTAAGTGTGCTGCATTGTTTGACTGATGTTTTGATTTGAAGTGCAGATACCAAAGCTTTTCACATGCACATGGTCTCAGCACAGATACAGGCTATAGGTTTTTGTCCTTTCACTTGTCATTTTTCTTTTTTTAAAAATCACACAACTTTGAGCACAGCAGCTGAAGAAGCTTACCAACAACCAGTTCAAGGGTATACACAACAACCAATCCTTTGTTTGAATTAAAATATAATGGAAGAAAAAAAAACTAAAAACCTATAAAGAATATAAAGCTGTAAAAATCAGAAACAAATCCTACGAATGGCGCCGAGTGAAGTCCATGAATACAAGAGTCCGAGGATCTGCAAGTCACATTTGCTCAGCTGCTTTGTGTGTGTATGCACATTAGTTAGTTCTTAAATTAATTATTGTAAATACTATGAAAACAAAATGCAAGTCACACACTCAGCAAACAAGAAACATTCCTTTCTTTGACTGATCTGGAGTCTGCATGTGCACAGAGGAATGGATTCAATGGGGGAGAAAAAGGAATCGAAAGGTGGAGGGGTTGGGGGTTACCTCTAACACCAGATCACTTTCACACACAGGGCACGGTTTTCACTGGGGCAACCACTTGTTTTGATACATCTTAAGTTTATTATCTGAATTTCAAGTTGAAAGTCTCTACGTCTCGTTTTCAGGTGCAGTATAATGAGTCTGTGGTTGCCCCAGTGAGTTCCTCACACACAGATCAAATAAATCCAAACACACAGTCAACAACAATAACAATCAATAATTCCAGGTGCCGGGTTTCAATGTAATGTCTGATCTGTGCCTGAGGATCAGTCGAGCCTTCTCAGTCTGACCTACCTCCTTGTTTACTTTGCAACTCTTTCATTTTCTCCCATAGTACAATGTGGGTCATACGTGTGTGTGTGTGTGTGTGTGTGTGTGTGTGTGTGTGTCTGTGTGTGTGTGTCTGTGTGTATATGAGAGAGGGGGGAGGGTGTGAGATTACTGGTGGGCACACTGTACCCCCGGCCCGTGGTGTCCGCCCTCTTCGTCCGAGCTGTCATTGTAGGCCTCTCTGCGGTTGCCTGATGACGAGCTCTGGCTGACGTCGTAATCCTGCAGGTCGACCTCCTCAGCGTCTCCGGTGATGATGGGGGGCTCGGACCGTGAGGGCAACATATCTTCCAACTCCTACACATGAAGAAGAGTCATCATGATGCACATAAAAAATAATCTACTCTATTTAGAGCACAACATCTTCAGGAAGAATAAGTAGTACAGTGTGAATGTAAGTGTTTGTTAAATTACCCATTAATAGACTAAATTACTCTAATGAATGGAGTCTGGATGGACTGAATTAATAAATGAAAATATATATTTGAATAAAATATATAAACATGCCAATTCGTAGGTTGATTTATGCAGTTAAAAGAATGAGGAAATAGATCAGCAAAATAAAATGACAAATCATTACTTTTAGTATCGTTACATTAACAAACTATTTTCTCACTTGAATTGTTTGGTCAAAAGAATTTCAGAAAATTTAAAAATGGTCCATCACACATTTACAGAGCCAAATGAATAAACACAAATCATTGTGTCTTATGCAATGAGGAGTCCAAAATCTAAACAAATTCTAACTGCTATCAAAGACTACATGAAGAAAGTTGGAACCACTGTATTGTTGTCATTTACTCAAAACAAATACATAACTAAGTATTAAAAGAATAGATTCATTTGTTGTTGATCATTTAATTGTTTCAACTGAAATCTACATCTAATCATTGTTGGTCTGTCTTTAAATAAATGTGAACAGGACAAGGGCTTTAAAATGGGAAGAAGAGGAAACAGTAGGTTTCAAGCAGTAAGCTCTCTTTCCCCACTTCATTCAAAGGCTATAATTTACAGAACAAGACTGTTTACATTCTGTCAGCCATTTCCTCTCAGAGGCTCGAAGGCTAAAGGACAATTTTCCAAACTTCAAACAGTACATTTGAACTGTAGGACGAGATGAGAGTAGCAAGTCTCACAGGATAGGTGACACACTAGTAGAGTGTTAATTAGTTAATTTGGTGATTTTATAGACCAAAAGAAACTTTAACAAGGTCCTGAATCTATTTGTGGCTCTAAATTTATGTTTGAAATTATTTGTGCGTCCAAGCTTGTAATTTGACTTTCTAACATGACTAATATACATCACTATTAGTACCATGAAATACTGGTAAATCTGAGGTTTTAGCTCTTGTCAATAGCTGTTCTGAATGTTAGTATCTTCACAATGGAAAACCAATCACCTGACAGACAGTTATCAATGAAAGGAGTAATAAGTCGTACCACAAGTTTTTCAGGGCTGATCCAGTTGTTGTCAGGGAACTGGACATCAAACTTGACATACAGGTCTCCCTTCTCAAAGGGGTTTCGGTACTGTGGCATACCCTCTCCTCGCACCACCCTGACGGAGGCTGGAAAAGAAAAACATTTTATTTTGTATTTAATTTCATATTTTCTCAGGAGACAATTTTAATCATGCAGGACAATGTCATATTGCTCATTTCACAACAAATCCATGATGTTTATGGTATTGTATATATTAATGCACCAAATGGACAGTAGTAGCCTCAGGGTGTAAGTGGAAGGTGTTTGGTAAGTTTTCCGAGTATTTCTGGAGATCACAGAGGTTTTTGCTGACCCCAGTCTCAAATCATTTATCAAGTACTGTGTTGTGTCCTTGATTTGGGCATCCACGTCCAAGGCCATTTTATAAAAGGTGCCTCCTTCCTATGTTCAGCTCTCAGCAGGACCTCTGAACACATTAAGACGGTCATCTTTTTCTCTGTCTCAGCTGTTCGCTCAGACTAACCCTCACCCCCAAAGACCTCCACTCTATGGCAATCTTAAAACGCTGGCTTGGTGATTCTGTGTAAAGCTTTTGCAAAAAAGATGCCCTAAGCCAGCCCAGTGAAGGTCGTGGCTGTGCGGCAGCAAAGCTGAAAGCCTTCAGTGGTGCCGATGTAGCCAAATACACAACAGCTGTTGTCATGTGGATTTTGTCAGACGCCACACTGACTATAAAATAAGTTTTATAACACTGCAGCACACCAGCCTGGGAATGACCACTGGGTAACACACCGTGTTTATGGGCCGTGTTTGAATCACTAAAAAACATTTTGAGTGACCACAGAGAGCAAGACAACATTAGGATATGTGTAATGGGCTTAAGAGTAACCTGGTGTGTGTGTGTGTGTGTGT